AGCAGCACAATTAGAAGGCTGAAAACAAGAGGCCCTTTGTCCTGGCACGTTATGTTTTGCTGATTCCATTACACATTGGCTGGGAGATAAGAATAAACAGGACAACACCCTGTCTAACCCCAGGAGGAGGGAGGAGGGAGGAGGGAAAGCTGGTTGCATTCATTCTTGGGCATGTATGTGCACACCATGTATTTGCAAATTGAGGTGCTTAAGACAACTGCATGCAATAGTCAGGAACTACTCTAAGCATTCAGAAGCCTTTCATTGCACAATCAGATCTTTTAAGAACAAGCTATGTGTAATAGGGAGCTTTATAGTTTCTCTCTACTGTGAAGTGCATTGAAGATATTTAAGTAATTGACGATTATTTCTCGATGCTCTTTATTTACCAATCCGATTTTTGTTCAGTCTTTTAAAAGCTTGAAAATTAGGATGAGCAAACATATAAACACAGCCTCCCTCCCTGTATCAAAAAAGCATACAAGGAATCAATCAACACCTACTGGGGAAAGGAAACGTATTGATCTGAGACTTGTCCCTTCTCCACAAAGGGGGAGTCTCCAGTTCAGGCACTGGTGCTCCGATGTCCTAACAATGGAGAATTTTGCTTAAGGACAGCAGCTGCTAAGTACAGTCAGCTTCTAACTGGCCTGTCAATGAGATGGTATGGCACTGCTGATCCCAGAAAACTGAAAGAAGATTTGACCTCTCTCCACGTAACCCCTGGCTGCCTGAACTATCAATCCCTCCTCCGCCTCTACCACTTCTTACTGGCTCCCCCACTCTTCCTCATACTGCTGTGCGAGTGGCTCAGGTGACCAAGCCCCAAGGGACCATGGAGTCTCCTGGCTTCAAAAATGAGTTTAAGAAGGGGGTGAAGGAAAGTCATTCTAAAAGCTCATTCATTACCCTCCAACTACACTGGGCTTCTTTCTGCTCCTCCAACCCATTACAGTGGTTCCCACCTTGGGGCCTTTGGACTTGAACTTTCTCAGCCTGTGCTGTTTTTCCACCAGGCTGTCATGTGCTGGCTTCTTCCCATCCTCCAGTCTCACTGTAACCGCCACTTTTAAAGAAGCCTTAGCCTCGCCACCTAAACAAAGCTACCTGTCCCCAGTCACTTTGTCACTTGCTTGGGTTTTATTTTCTTCATAGCACACATCTTGGTTTTGTTTTTATGTGCACTGTCTTCTCCCCTGACTAGAATGCAAGCTCCATGCGGACAGAGAGAGACCTAATCAAGCTTAGTCCCCACTGTAGACTCAGCATCTTCAGTCCTACCTGGCACACATTATGGGCTCAACAGAAATTTATCGCAAGAATGAATAAATAAACAATGAACAGATGAACAACAATCTACAGAACCAGTGGGCAAGGTCAAAGCAGAACTTGTGAGCCTTACCGAGCACACAGCTGCTGTGTTGTTTGCTTGCTTGTGGGACCAGGGCTGAGACCCATGTGAATGGCCAAGCATGAGGCAGGGTCATGGAAGATGTGGCTTTTTATTCAAAGCGCTACATAAAAACCACTCCGAAATGATTTGTAGGAGATTCTTGAAACTGAGATAGAAAGGGGGGAAAAAGAATGTATTTGGACATCAGCAACGTTGTTCTGCCAACCTAATTATGCCCCATGACATGTAATTGTGAGCTGCTGAAAGACAAATGATGAGGCAAAGCATTTATTAAAAACACACTCACAGGTAAGACTGAGGTGTTAATTTTTAAGCAACTGTCATAAATCTGGTTCCAGGGTATTATTCCATTAACATTATTATCATTATAACAGAGTGTAAGCATGATGACGAGCTCCTTTCCTGCGTTTCTCAATACCTAGGAAAGCAGGCTTCCGAGTCAGCCCCTGCTGAGAGCCTGAGAAAGCACCGGGTGCAGTGGAAACAGCAGAACACTAATTACGCCAACACGGAGACAGCGAGGTGCCCATACAATGGAGACTCCTGTGAAATGCATTCAGACCTTCATACAGACATCATGGCACACAGTCCATGAAATGTGCATTCCATCGCTCCTTACATGGCACATTCAGCCACACAGAAGGCGAAAATAAAGCAAAACACAAAGCCCACACTTACTGAGAAAAGTATGGGAATGGAACTTTCCACAGTGTTTCAAAAGCAAACTGGTGGTTTTTCTCAGAATCAGATGAAATGAAAGGATCTGTTCCCTGGAACAGGGATTCGGAAAAGAATTGGAGGGGAGGTTAATATTATATTACTAGGTGACAAAAATCATTAAGTGCAGTATTGATAAATGTTCTAGTTATTGTAATGTTTGAAAAGTATTTTGAATTCTAAAAAGACATTTGTGTATTATTTACCTTCTTTCAAACTGATTTGCCATTTTCGTACATTCAAGTTGTACTAATATGTTTTTCCCACTTCACTGAATATCAGAATCAGGCTCTCAAAAACAGACTCGGAGAAAGAGTTTTAAGATTATTCATACAACCCATGCTACGTAATATTTAAAATGCAGTACAATCACTACAGATATCATCCAAAATTAGAAATAACTACTTAAAGTGGTTATTAAGAATTTACCCACTTTCGTTCACATGGGAATGTATAATGTGATTTACTGAAAAAAGAATGCGAAAATGGTTATAAAATGAGTTTCATTATGATTAAGACCTAATCACTAAAGAAGTCCGGAGGTATGAAATTTATAATCTTGCATATATGTTTATAAAATGTGAACTCGGAAAGAACCATTTAACTTACCAAGAACTCCTTTGATCTCTGATGCAAAAGAACAGGACAATGACAAGTTTCAGTGTGGAGGCCTTTTCAGATGGTTCTGACTAGCCTTGGGATTTCTCTAGTCCTACTTTAGGCATGGAGTTGACCTAGAAACTGTCATTTTTGTTCCAGCTTTGCTTTCTAGAGCCCCAAGCAAAGCTGAGACCATAAGTAAGGCAGCAGGATGCTGGGAGCCAACTGAGTCATAAACCCCACTGGGCTGCATGTGGCTCAAGGTGTTGGGATCCCAAGAGAGTCATGCCAAACAAGTGGAATCATTTTAGGTCAGTTAGGAAAAACACAGAGTGTTCCCCCATGCTCCCAACTGGCAGAAGATACCACAATCCCCCCTCCATGGCTCAAATACGGGGAGCAGTAACTAAGCCCAGGAAAATATCTAGGCCAGGGCAGACTATTTCCACAGTCTAAAAAGAAAGGGAAAAAATGGGAGGAAAAATGATATTTGACAACCCACCACAAATGTTTAAATGTGAAGTTCTCCTGTTCCTCAGCATGAAAGCGGTCTTACTGCTGCTACGTTATTATCAACATCACATTTTTGACATTTGTGCCGAGTACCATTTAGCCTTACAGTACTTAGGCTTATTGCTTTAAAAATACAGAGTTAAGCATGTTTAAATCACTTTAAATATCTCAAAAAGCAGCAAACACACAGCCTACCTGTTCAGGCACGCAAGCTTGCAAAGAAAAGCTTTATAGAAGGGCCCGCAGGTCAACAAGCTCTGGTTTTGGCAGACTGACGTCAGGAAGGAGCTATAGAAAACAAGGTCCTCGGTAGGAAAATTCTCTGCCTTTGCTCCCCTCAGGTCAGAGCTTGGAACTGTTAGCAAACATGCCCTGAAAAACTGTACTCTCATAAAGTGCTAAAAACTCCCAAATAAATATGGCCCCTCAAAACTGTGTACAAATGAGAAACATTTAATGAACAACCCTTTCTTTGCCAATAATTCTGATTAAATTAAGTCCAGCAGACTCTTCAAAGGGACCAAAGAAGCCCCCTTGTTAAGACGAATTCTATATATAGACATCCAAGACAATTATAGGATGCATGTAACCAAATATATATAATTATCCTAGTTTCTACATTCCCATTATCTTCATAAATATAGGATAAAAATCAGTCTAAATGACTTTCTCAGACCTCCTCAAGGATTAAGACTAGCCAGCCAGCTTTTAAAAAGTATACGTATATAGTAAAGATCAAAAGCAAATGTTCTGGACAGTTCTTTTCTACTCATGGGTTTTACTAAGAATGTGTGCAGTTTTCAGGGAAAACACCACAAATGACAGCTGTTCAAAAGCATGGAAATTAATTGGCAGCAGGAATCTCCTTGACTAACAGGGAAAAACTTAAAGTCACATGTTTTGATGAGCTTATTTTCCATCCTTAGTCAAGCACATTCACTGTTAATGATTAAGATTTTCAAACAGAAACACAACCAAGTAAAGTCCCGAGGACATAACCAAGTAAAATGCTGACTGAAACCCAGCTACCTATTACTGAATGAACAATGGCATTAATGAATGAATTTTAGGTGTAAATAATAGATAGGAAAGGTTCATCTTGCAGGCCTTGATTTTCTATAGGAACTAAACTGAGACAACAATAAGAGCAATGTATTTATTGTATTAAAAATTAGTAGCAAGGCATGTATCTCCTACCCCTACCCCACCTCAGGAAGCCATCTGCTCTGAGCCGCTTTTCTAGCAGTGGCGTGGGATTTATACTGATCCATCCACAGTTTCTCTGACAGAGGGGCTCTCAAGGCATTGCCCTTGTGACCAACAGTGAGAATGATGAAACAGCTGGTCAGGATTAGGCGAGCAGCCTATGGCCCTGGACCCAGGTTGTATCACCCTGCCCAGAGCTCCGACCTTGGGGTCATTAGCATTATGCTCTCACCACCTAAACTAATCAGCCACTGATCAGCCACAATCCAGCATACATCAATCTGGGGGCACAATCTCTTCTAAATCCCAGCAACAATGTCATTTTATTTTTAAGGCAGCTGAATTGAGTCCAAGACACCCAAAGGCTCATGCATGGTAGAGTCTATGAATAAACTGTCCCTCAAGGCAGCAATGAGATGCCCAAGCACAAGCAATCGTGGCCCTTCCATCCTAATCAAATGACAGCTCTGACAGAGCTCAGAAAAAGCAAGATATAGTCACAGAATTCCCCAACCATGTTCTCTGCGAGCGCCACAGTGGAACAATGTACCTGGCCATCCCCAGACTTGGAAAGTTGGCAGGAACGATGAGTATGTCCAGCCTGGAAAATGGGTGGGTCCCCAGGACAGAGTGTGCTGCTGCGAGGCAAGGAGAGACCAGCTGCAGAAGGGTCTCTTGGCAGGCACCTTCGAGGCAAACTGGGGCGAAGACCCGATGAGGAATGATCTCCTGGGTGGTGGCAGAAGCATTCTGAAAGCGGCAGGGGTATTCCATGTGGCCACAAATGCCAACACACCTGGGAACAACACACAATAAACATACACTTTACTGGAGATCGGCTTTATTCTCCCTGCTTTGGAGCTGAGGGACTTTCACTGGCACGGCCGACTTCTAGCAGAGCGTGGTTCAGAAAGGCTTAGGAGCAAAATCAGCTACCTGCGTTCTCCACTGGTCTGGGTCTATGCAGCAGTGGAACATCACTGGAGCAGGTGCTTCTTGGTGTTTTGATCTAAGCTAAGTGAAAATAGTAAAATCTTGTTTTAGAATATATGGGGACAAAGCCCCAAGGTGCAAAACAACAAAACTCCCCACGAAAGCAAAAAATAATTTCTGCCCTTATAATTGTGCTTTCAAATATCACTACAGAAAAAAGTGTCTCCAAAGCAGGGACAATTCATAACTCAGAAAGAAAGGGATGGTGCAGCCAAAGAAAAGATCCCATTCTGGAATTTACTAGAATAAAAGATGTGGACTCAGGTAGAGAGCAATGAACCAAATGACAGCACAGGTTCCAGCTTTTCAAAAGAACACAATCCATTCTACTGTTCTTTACAAAGGCCATCAAAAGGTGTGCTGTTAAGGAATACAGAAGCACTTTTTTTAATACATTTTTTAAATTGATTTGAGAGAGAGAGGAGGGGGGGGAGAGAGAGAAACATTGATTTGTTGTTCCACTTAATTATGCATTCATTGGTTGATTCTTGTATGTGCCCTGACAGGATTGAACCGGCAACCTTGGCATATTGGATGAAGCTCTAAACAAATGAGCAACCCAGCCAGGGCCTACAGAGGCACTTTTGTACAAGATTTTCCCCAATCCACTTTTAATACAAACTTAACTAAATCAGCCTTTTAAGGAAGCAGATCAGAGTCCAGCCCACACCATCTGACAACTGTCAGTTATTCTACCAAAGGTGGAGCTGAAAAAGGATTCCTAAAGCCTGACTCATAGGCCTCAAGAGAACGTATCCACCCAAAAACACTGACATCAAAGGGAACTCAATTTTTTCACCTGTTAACCCGTCCTTTATTCAAACATAATGGAACACTCCTCTACTTTTAATTTATAAATTATAGTTCTAACTATGAGGCTTATTAGATTCACTGTGAATACTAAAAAAACTTTAAAATACTGGTACATTCCAATATGGGAGGGCTGCGCCTTTCGCCCACCCAAGATCAGTGCTGCCCACAGAGATCCACAGAGCTATGGAGAGAAACTTTGCCCTCTGCCGTGTGGCCATAGGTGAGGGAAAAATAATGGGGGAAGACCCACAAATACTTCTCCCAGGTTAAAGTGACAGGAAGAATATAATTGTTGAGCTAGCCAAAGTCCCTGGATTGATAACCTTGCTTTATGGAGAAAGTGAGTGGAGGTGCCCGTTAGTAAACATTTAACTGAAAAGGCTGCAATGTCCACCTAATGACTAGTACTGTGCTGGAGCATCAATTTAATCACAGCTCTCACAAAGTGAAAAATCACCACTTATTAAATTATCCACCACAATACCTTGTCCTTATGTATTTATATGGGTATGTAATGTGTGAGGGTAATTTAAGCTTGCACTCTCTATTGGCAAGTTTGCAGAGCACATTAACTAATGGAGAAATTAGAGGTGAAGAAGCAGCTTCAGGACAAAGTTAGAGCATAAGTTTAAATTCTACCTATCAAAGTGCAATTTTGCAAGGAGGCATCCCATTGGCCTATCTAGAAATACCATGGGGCAAGATTATTTTTTTGCAGCCAAAAACCCCAAAAGTTAGAGAATAGCTTGAGATAGCCAAAGATAGAACATAAAAGCCAATCTGTTCAAGAGAAAAGGTGAGTTAAATTCTCTTTGGACACGAATGGCACTATCCAGGGTAATGAAGTTATTTCAGTTGGATGAATTAACACTGTTTTTCATAATCAAAGCATAGAAAATGTAGGACTCTAAGACAATCAAGCTATGGGCAAATGAGACCATTAAGGTTTCCAATACAAATGGAAATGGCATCAGGGAGGCCACACATGGGTTCCAACATGGGAATCAGGACACCTGGACTTCTGTGGCTGTTCAGCCGGCTCACTGTGCCCTGAGGCAAGCGACTCAGGCTCTGGGCCTCCTTTCCTCACCAGGTCTCACAGAAGAGGCTACTGAGGAAGAGGAGGAACTGATTGGAAAGGGGGGTGAGGGAACTTATTGGGGTGACAGAATGTTCTCTATCTGGGTTAGCATGTATACAGCTGTCAAAAACTAACCAAGCCAAACACTTAAGATCTGTTCATTCTGCATTAATTATACTTTAATTAAAAATAAACAGCCCAGCCGGTGTTGCTCAGGGGTTGACCATCGACCTATGATCCAGGCGACAAAGTTTGATTCATAGTCAGGACACATGCCTGGGTTGTGGGCTCAATCCTCAGTAGGGGACATGCAGGAGGCAGCTGATCAATGACTCTCATTGATGTCTCTCTCTTTCTCTCCCTCTCGCTTCCTCTCTCTGAAATCAATAAAGACATATTTAAAAAAGAAACCAAAATGGTTTCTAAGGTTTCTCTGGCACTCTGGTTCTAAGCCAATGCACCACGTGAGCCCTCTTCACACAGCAGCCATGCTCCTGAAGCAGTGGGGAGCACTCACTTTTATAAACTTGTGACTAGGCTTCCATAGAACCAGCGTTACCTCAAAAATATTCAATCTTTCCTTCAGACTAATCTTCAGTTACACATCGCTGTATATGTGCCTGCTCCAATGTACTCTCAATATCACCAACAAATCAAGCATTTGTAAACAGCTCTTCCTGGTGCCCAGACTTGTAACCAGAGTAAACATTTTATTACTTAAGGTTAATAATACTTGATTGTTAATTAATAATCTGTAATACTAATAAGAATAATAAACACTAATAACTCCTACCACAGCTGCTACTGACATTGGTTGAACATTCACTGTGCCAAGTGCTGCTCTGAATAGTGCACATACACTTCCCCAGTTAATGCACACACCACTCTCAGGAACAAGAACTATTCGGCACAGCGTGAGTCATCATAAGCTCCTCCCTCCCGATTCTCCTTCTCCAGAAACTTCATTTTGCTTCTTAAGTAAATTTGGACCCTGGAGTTTTCTCCAAGCTGAGCTCAGCTGCTCTGTGATTCTCCGGGCTCCTGCTCCTCCCTGTCAATATTGCCTATTAATATTGCCCAGAGTGGGAAGAAGGGTGAAACATACGCTAGGCTGGTAAGTGGCAGAAACCAGACCATTGGTTCTCTCTTATACAATGTTGGGCTGAGATGATTTTACAAGAGGTCTCTCCAAGGAGTAAGAGTGGCCATGTCTTACNTTTTACAAGAGGTCTCTCCAAGGAGTAAGAGTGGCCATGTCAGAATCACAAGACGGGAAACTGCCTCTAGAGGTTCTCCTGCTGCCACCGTCGGGTTTCAGACAGGGCTGCAGTGAAACCACCCGGCACAAACGGTTCTCCGTCCTGGGTTCAAAAGAAATTACTGGAAAGTCTCCCAAGGGAATGCATATCTTTTTTCCACAACCCTTCCTTGGTTCAAGGCGACGCCTCAGTTAATATCTTCTGCATTCCTGCTCTTCTCAGGTCACTCCCCCGGGAGTTGCCTGTACCTACATATGAATAAGTCTCTGACGCTACCTTTGAGGAGTTTACAGTTTTGTTAGGAGAAAAGAATTTTAAATTCTGATTAGTTTAGTGACACAGTAAAATGTTTACACAATTTATTAACATGTTTTAGGTAGCAGAGTAAATGCTTTCTAAATACCTCCACCAGTCCCCCAATGGGTTGCCGACAATAATGCCAATATACATGAGGACGGAGTAGCGTCTGAAAGCTGGGTGTGTTTTCTCTGAACATTCAGCATATTAAAAAGCAAAATGAGATATGTGCAACATGAGGCAGAAAGCCGAAATAGTCTGGGGGAGCAAGGGCTGGAAAAATAACCAAGCCAAGAAGATACGGAAAGGTCCTCGTACAGTGAAGGGAGCTCTGGGAATTGGCATTTCCCGATGATTTATATCTACCATTCCTTCCTTTCTAGACTTTCAGAGAGAGAAATAGGGCCTCATCCTCTGAGGGCCAACTTTTCATTCACTTTACATCCTCTACCAAGTCTGCCCTTTCTTTTATTTTCTTTTTTTAAAATATGTGTTTTGGGGGATTTTTAAAATTGATTTTAGAGAGAGGAGGGGAGAGGGAGAGAGAGATAAAAACAACAGTGATGACAGAGAATCACCGATTGGCTGCCTCCTGCACGCCCCCCTGGGGATCAAGCCCACAACCCACCCGGGGGTGTGCCCTGACCAGGACTCGAAAGGGGACTGCCTGGTCCATGGGTCGATGCTCAACCGCTGAGCCACATCGGCTGGCAAGCCTGCCCTCCTTTAGGGTTAGCAGCCTTGGTGCCTCTCCCATGTTTTTCCATGCTCTGTGGTGCCTGTTTCCCATGCTTTTAACCATTTTTGCTGAACTCCTCTAAACTTTATCCAAGCATCCTGCTTATCCTGTATGGCCCCAAAGTGAAGACAGTGGTTTAACAAAGGCCTTGCGAGGTTAAACATAATACAAAGATCCCCCTGTGGCTGGAGAAGGTTACACTACAGCCAAATAAAATTAATAAACTTTCCACAGTTTCTCTCAGTGCCTTATAATTAATGTATTTACCAAAATGCTCACCAAGAGTGGGCTGGAGTGCATATGGAACTGGAGCTGGAAGAAAGACTACTGTTCCTATAATTTGGCCACATGAACAGTGATCAGAAGCTCAGTGACCAATACTCTGGCCAAATTTCTGGGACCCAGATGAACATGTTAGGCAAATGAAAGCCTGTGGTATATGAGGCCCCTGTAAAAGTTACGTTTACGTGAACTGAACTAGTGATCTTAGGGAGGTTTGAAGTAGGAAGGGGGTTTGGGAAAGACAAGGGGACCAGATGTGAACATAACCAAAAACACCACTGCAGTTGGCACTTCAGAGCACCTGTGTTGGCAAACTTAGCGAGGAGCCAGAGATGTAATGGATAAAAACACAGAGCCACCCTCTGCTGACTAAAGACAGCACGCATGAAGCATGCAGCCAGGGAAGGATCAAGCAAATGTAAGCTATTATTTTATCAGCAGTACATTTCTGATGGACAAGCACAGTGATAAATGAAGGGAAAGCTCAGTCATAGCATGTCAGACATGGAAGGGAGTGTGGGAGGGACTCCATCCCCAGGCCTCCCATAACCATACTAGGACAAACTTCCCTGCCCTGGAACCCTTGACCTCTGTCTCCAGCTGATCACTGGCCGGGTCACTCTGGACACTCTGTTGGAATCTGCTTGCCCACAGAGGGGCTACTTCTGGCTGAAGGCAGGCTGTGTGCATCTGTGCTGAGGGGGCTAGCAGTGGGCCAGCTGGGTGGAGGTATGTCTGATTTGGAAATGAAGTATTAGAAAGCCCACGTACACTGTGCACCTGAGCACTCCCTCAGCCCAGCTTCTGTCAGTAATGAAACTTTTCTTTCGTTGTCCTTCTGTCTGTTTCTCAATTGGTTCTGAACTCAGGAGGACAAGGGAGGAGTTGTATTTACCCTTCCCCTAAACTCCAACAGGGATTCAGATGTCCGTCTTCCCAGAATCCCACTTTGTGTGGCCATGGCCTCCTCCACAATTATGGGTGCATGAGAAGCGAACAGCGCCCTCAGTTGCTCCGTGCAGCAGAGGGCACACAGGAGATGCTTGCTGCCCATTCCCTACCTCCGGTCTCTGTAACTGCTGCTAGGAGGAGCAAATAATAGATCTTTCTTTGCCTTCTCCTAGCCTTCCTAAGGCACTCATTTTCAACTGCATCCCTCCTCTAACAGTGCATCAGCCCTGAGGCTGTGGGTGAAGAGCAGGGTGCACCTTCACCATGAAGAATCTGAGAAATTCACCTCCTCGCCACATCCCCCCCCAAATGCTATTTTACAGAGAAGGAGAGCAGGGCTTTGCCCAAAGAAACACATCCAGTCAACAGGGATGGCACCTCCAGGCTCGAAGGTAGTGCTCTGAACTTCTGCTTTCTGTTACAACATAATGCATTCCAATCAATAATAGTGACTCAGTCATGGCACTGCCTCTCCAGGTGGGAAGGTAGATCGGACTATGGGTGAGCATGGATGTTATGTACAATTTTAAGATTCTGAATTATCTCTCCAGGGGCTTGAGCCCAAATGTGAATCCAGGTATTGTAACTCAGAAGGGACATGACTGTGAACATGTTGCTGTTTGAAGTCCCAGTATTATTATTTTATCTAGAAAATGGAGACAATAAAGCCTATCTATCATACAGGCTTATCCTCAGAACTAGCTGAAATGACATTCACATCAAGACTTTCCCTGACTTCAAACATCCAATGGCATCAACATCAATTCAGGATAGGCTAGGATATGCTGCAATAACAAACATCCCCAGTATTTCAGGTGCTTAACACAAAAAAGTTATTTCTCACTCATACCAAGTCCACTGTGGATCCAATTGACACTCCAGGGCACCTACCTGTCCTCCCTACTCAGAAATCTGGCTACCCAGAATTGTAAAATGAGGCCTACTACGGGATTTCAATGACAGGGAAAGAGAGCACTAGGTCTCACAAATATTCCCACGTGAAAGTAACATACGTCACTTCTGTCTACAATTCTGTTCTTCCCTCGAGAGTGCATATGTAAAATCCAAAAAGCAATCTAGGATACTCTATATAGCTCAGGGAAGACAGTCCAAAATAGGTAACTTACTGAATAAGAAGTGGAAATTACCTCCCTTCCCCTGAAAAGCAAAAGGCAGGCAGTAAGATATGCCCATCATAAGAGAGGGGCTCAAAGGCTTTATCTTCTAATGACACCAACCACTGCTGTCACTGCAGTAAAAGCAAAAGCAACATGGCAAAACAAAACCAACACAAAAGGACTTTTCATTCCACGAGCATATCTTAGCTGGCTTTCAGGGATGAACTAACTAGCTGTCCTATGACTCTGGGCATTCTTCACTAGAAGGCACTGACTTAGTGACTACCTGTAAATAGGAAAATGATTAAACTGAGCTGAATGTAAAAGTCCTACAATGAAGCACGATGTCACACTGCATGACTAGCACACTCCTGTGCCTAGTATGTGCATTCCCCTTCCCCCCTTTGGCTCTCAAAGCTAGAAATAGTTGAACATCTGGGCAGGCTGAACTGATTTTCTCTGATCAACCCTGAAATAGAAGGAGTTGCTACTGAAGTTAAAAGAGCCCTGACCCAGCAGGATTATCATAACCCAATGGCCTTGTGACTGCTTCCTTGTGTCCTATGCTCCTAAGCAGGCAGTCCTCCCCCACTGAGGGAAGGCTGCCCCACAAAATGCACTGCTAACAGCAGACACAGGAACCAGAACAGCAGACTGGACTACAAAGGAATCCATCAGACAAGCAATTTTTTTTTATTAAGTTGTGTTTTTGACAAAATAAGCACTGAAATCCAAAGGTAAAAGGTGTAGAAAGAGAAAACACTGAAGATTCTGTTGACTTAACCAAATATACAAAAATATTTCACCTGACTTCACAGAGGATTTAACATATACTTATTTTATTTTCTCGTTCTTTCTGCATAAACAACATGCCCACACTTCTGCCGTTCAACTCTCTTTCCCTCCCAGTAGGGCTTTTCCTGCTTTGATTAATCATATTTTGGTTTAGTTTCTCAGCAGGGATGACTCACATTCCCAGCACTTGGAATAAATGCATCATTCTGCTCCCTTGAGTGTTTGTTTTTCAGCAAGTTTCCAATACAAACCTAGAGTCAGCCTCGGAAGGTGAGAGGGACCTCTCTGCTGCCAGAGCATTTAGTGAGCAGGTCTCTGGCTTCACTTCCATCCAGGGTCCCACTGCAATTGTGAAGGTGGAGGCTGGCATTGGCATGGTTACGTAGTAATGCCAGCTTGAGCACCCTATAAACAGAAAGAGGAAAGTCACAGTGAGGCCAATGTATGGTTCTAGACCTTGCTTGTATCTTTTCTCTCAGGCATTTGAAGAACCTGTGCCCTAAGATGGGATGAGCCAATTCTTAGACATGGGTCATGTCAACTGAAGGGGCATTATTCCAGGTCTCAGGGGAAGCATAAGAGAGATGACAGTTTCAGGGCAGGCAGGGAGGTTCGGACTGCTCCAGGGATCAGTTTGAAGCCCTTCAAGTGAGGCTATAAATAAAGGGTGGTGGTTACAGTGGTCACTAACAGCTGCAAACACATAAAAGTATAGGTTGTATGCTGCTCTAGAGACAAAAAAGTCTAACTCATCCTTATTGCCTAGCACAGTACTTGGCATAAAAAAAAAAAAAAAGGAGCAGCTCAGCTGCATGGATGGATGGATGAAAGAACAAATGAATTATCATTTCTGTTCTGCTAAACTATGTTGTCTAAACTCAATTCAAGTCCGTCTCAAATGGATACAGTAGACTACAGTGAGACTAGAGAAAGGAGATACCTGGGTTATAGCCCCAGCTCTAACACTAATTAACTGTGGAAGCACAGGCTTTATACTCCTCATTCCTCTTATCTGTTAGTATATTGGGCTGGTCCCCCATTCCTCAATGAGCAGGTGAAAAGCAGGCCTGGGAAGGTTCTATGGAGCCAAGGACTCCCAGCTCGTTGTAACAAGGCTGGACTTATAGCTGGGGCTCCCCATGCCAGCCAAGGGTGTGCCCGCCAGTGAGCCTACACCTTAGAGAAGGCTTTTACCAAAGGATAAATGATTGATAACCTGTAACACTATACTCCCTTACTTCTGAGATGGGAAAGTGATTTTAATGTTTCTGAAATCTGAATGTGTCATACAACCTGATGTTATACAGTATTTTTTTCTGAGCATCTGCTATAAATTGATGGTGTGTCTGAAGAAGAATGACTATTCCCTCATATTATGGAGCACAGTTCTCCACTTCCCATGTTCTTCATGTTGCATTAGAGTAACACAACCTAGCCTCTCTTTCAGCCCCTCATTAACTCCTTTGCAGGAACTATTCTTCTCTTTCTTGTTTTAAGTTTTAGAGGGTTAAACACTCATGGAGTAGCCTATGGTTGTACAATTTGGTCAGTGAGTGGCTAAGATGTCATATTCAGGGTCAAAATGTTAACATGCCCACAATGACCAGCAGAGCAAATAGCATTTTTCCAAGTCCTTTACCAGTAAAAATCAATGATAAAGGTTAGATTTTGATCTCCACATGCTTGGCTTCCTTGTCTCTCAACTAATCCTGAACTTAGGGAGGTAGAGAGTTGTTATTTATTACCCTCTGAAACTACCCTCTGAAACTTAGATCCAAAAAATACACTGCAGAGCTCCTCTGATGAAAAGCAAAATTTTACACACAAAACAAAGACCTAAACTTAAGGGGAAAAAATATGATATCAACTTTGAATAAATATGATATGATGTCAAGTTTGGAAGTCATTAGAGGAAATACTTGAAGGAGGAATATAGAAGGGCAGGATAGAATGGCAGGAAACCCATCACAGAGGTATCGGTTCTCTCAAAATTGCTTCTGGAATCAGAATAGCAGTCTTGAAATCACTCCTTCCACAACTGACTAAAAAGCTCAAGGCATGCTGGTCTTTTTAAAAAGTACTTTTATTTTTTAATTGATTTTAGAAAGAGAGGAAGGGAGAGGGAGAGAGAAACATTGATTGGTTGCCTCCCGTAAGCACCCTGACCAGGGACTGAACCCGAAACCTGGCTATGTACTCTGACCTGGAATCAGACCCATAACCCTTTGGTGCACAGATGACGCACCAACCAACTGAACCACACCAGTCAGGGCAATACATGCTCCTCTTTAAAGATGAAGGACTTCCAGCTATGATGGCAGCTTAAGTAAACGTGTAAACACAGTACTTGCCTTCTCCCACAACCATGTCATAATTAAAATGAAACTACAGAAAGCCACCATTCAGAACTGCTTGAAATCTGGCTGATTGAAGTCCTACAACTAGGGAATTAAAGAAGAAGCCACATCCACACTGGTAGGAGGGGCAAAGAACCAGAATGGGCTGGTCCTACACCCACGTGTGGCAGATAAAAATATGGAGGGATATCTCAGCTGTGGAGATCCCCCCTGAAGTCCCCACTGAAGGGCAAAGGGTCCTAGCCCCACACCAGGCCTCCAGTGCTAGGAAGAAAAGTCCCCATAACTTCTGGCTGTAAAAACCAGCAGGGAGTGTGGCTGAAGGAGGCTGAGGCTGCTGGAGTCCCAGGTGGTCCTCTCAAAGGGCTGGTGCTCGGACTTACTCAGACTCACTCCCTCTGAGCTCCAGTGTTCTGGAAGCAGCTTGAATGGGGCAGAGGCAGACAGAAGGAATTGAATTGTCTGCTGGGCAAGAGCTGGGGGGAGGGAGCTGCTTTTTCCCAGACAGAAGTGCTGGCAGAGGCCATTATTCCTTTGATGAGCACCC